AAACTCAGATTATCATATTGGGATGATCACAGCCTTTCTTGCAGGTGTTTGAATGTCTCACCTTCTCCTGGAATGCCTGCAGCACCTGTACAGCTGACAGCTGTCCATCTCTCAGCTGCTGGCTGAGTTGGGGCAGAGTCAGGGACAGGATCTCTCTCCTTTTGGCTGCTGTTGGCTGTGGTATTTAACAAATCTAGTAAATTGTGGGTTCAGATTGTTATAACATTGATTACAAATTTGAAGTAGCCATCTACTCTACCAGACGATGATAACATGAAGTTTTGGAGAGAGAGGTTCTTTTGTTTTCTTATAAAATTATAGTCACCAAATAAGATATGTGAAGAATGATTTATACAAACACACAGCACTTGAATACATGTATTGTTTAAGTTACATGTGATTGTGGATGGGCCTTAAAAACAACAGGTTGTTGTAGTTGTTGTTATGAATGTAGATATGCAATGACAGCAATCTAAACATTTAACATGAAGTATTCACAAGACATTAGTAACGTTACATATTATGACATCCTTGAAGACAACATTGTACACTGAAAACCCATTTATATACATTTGTTAAAACAAAAGTGAAGTCTTCCTTATCAAGACAGTTCAGATCTAGAATCTCACCTGATCGTCAGTAGCCACAGATCTCAGAACGTCTTGCAAGGCTCTCCGACTTTCTTCTCTCTTCTTCAAGGCCTTCTTCTTCACCTGCTGTCTCCTGTAGACCTTCAGACCGACATAACAGCTCAGAACGCCGGCTAACACCGAACACACCGCTGTGGAGGTGTTAGCAATGTCCATGCTGACAGAATTTCACCAAAAAGTTCGTAATTCCCCGGCTTTCAGAGGTTCATTCGATCCAAAAATGACCCACCCACTTCCGCATTCACATATAACCTTTAACCTACTAGGTTATACCATTCAATTTCTATAGGGGTTACCGGGTTGCTGTTTGGAAATAGGTATTCACCAAAACATTTTTAAAACGTTTAAGTTTCCAAAAATACTTAACTATAATGTGTTATGTGTGAAATGAGCTATTTTTTGCATGTATTCGTGTATTTTACAAACAAAATTAAGCCTAAGAACTATATACATGTAAATGAAAATCAGGCTACGAATAGAATATTTTTCTAGCCTTGAAAAACTTTTGATACCTTGTCGCCAATTTAATTCGCTCAAAGCTTACAGAAAATGAAACGATTGGTTTTAGGCGTATAAATACCCTCACAAAGCCACAATATGAAATTTTCCACAAAAACTTGAAAACCCCATACGAGCCTTTCGACTCTCTCAATTGATTTTTCCCTAACCTTTTTTCGCACTTCCGGTTTACAGAGCCCAGAATTAGGCTCTCTTGGAGTTTACTATTTTTACTTGATCGGTGTACAAATTTTCATTTTTCCAGAAAATGCCATGCATTTTCATTAACTTTTCCATGGTTCTGTCGTAGGTTTTCTATAGTCTGTAAATGATAAACTCTTCACCACTCCGTTTTAGGGGATGCGTGCTAGTTAGGGGATATGAAATAAAATTTCGGACAGTTCCTTCTCTTTTAGTTTATTAGCGACTTTTAACGCGGTTCAGACTGACAGCCGCACGGTCAAACCTGTTCCTGGTGCTGACCTTGGTGCTGATCAAGGAGCAGAGAAACCCTACAGAGAAGTGTGATCAATCGCTAGAGGTCGCTGCTGCATGGTCTAGCATTGTTGACCTCCAGTGCAGTGATTCATATGCAAATCGTATTTTCTACCACTGTACTGTTGTAATTCGGGTATCAGGACACTTCGGCCCCGGGCTGTGGACGCTTCGGCCGGTGGTCTTCAAATCCCGCTAAAATACTCCACAACGCGACCAATTCTACCGTGTGGCGCACACCAAACACACCCGGGCCGCCGTGTTTGTTTACATGTTCGGTGATGTTGAATAATAAAAGTAGCGTCTCTTTCAACATTCCCGAAAACGCCGCCGTTCGAAATTGCGGTTTCCTGTTATGGTTTGCCGTCCCGTGTTTTAGCTGAAATTTTGTTGTTATGATTATTGCTATTGTTAGAATTGATTGATGTTATAGTATGAAATAGTCGTTCCCTTGACTGCAAAACGTCCTGACGTCGGCGAAACGTCAGGACGAAACCTGGCCAATGGACCGTGTAGCAGTGGCCTCCGGCGATTTGTCTCCAAACTGCAGGGTCACGTTTACTTGTGACTGACGTAACTATGGCGTAGCTGTAGCACACTGTCCTTTGTGATGAACCTTTGTACAAAATACTAAATTAAGTCACTCACAGCAACATTTCCTGTTATGTTTCGCCGTTCCATGTTTTTAGCCGTTCTTTGGTTATCGCTATGGTTAGAATTGAAGTTATGATTAAGGTTAGAGTTGGAAATAGGCGCTCTCTTGACTGCGAAGCGCCCTGACGTCGGTGAAACGTATTGACACTATCGATATCCGACAGATGTACCGTGTAGCAGTGGCATCTGGCGATTTGTCTCCAAGCTGCAGGGTCACGTTTACCTGTGACTGACGTATTACTCTGAGGTAACTGTAGTACTGCAGTTGCACACTGGCCATTGGAGTTTGTACAAAATACTATATTAAGTCACTCACAGCAACATTTCCTGTTATGTTTCGCCGTCCCATGTTTTTAGCCTTTGTTTTGGTTATCGCTATGGTTAGAATTGAAGTTATGATTAGGGTTAGAGTGGGAAATATGCCTCCCATTCACTGCAAAGCGCCCTGACGTCGGTGAAACGTATTGACACTATCCGGCAGATGTACCGTGTAGCAGCGACCTCTGGCGATTAGTGAAGTGCAACAGCAGTCTACTGTGTGCGAGTCGTGTGCAGAACTCTCTTGATTGAAAACGTAGGCATAGGCAAGGGACACGTTTCACTTTTTCGTTCGTTCAATCATTCATTCGTTTCTTTCAGTTTACTGCATTCACAATATAAGATTTTGTTGACCGAACCAGACATCAATCTCCCGTCGTCTGCGCAATTATAATTTATATACGTTTTCATCCCGGTTTATGATGGTTGTCCCTTATGCTTGTCTGCTCTCTTAACTCGGTGCACGGAAGGTTTGTGGTCTTCAAATCCCGCTAAATACTCCAGAACACGAGCGATATTCTGCCGTACTGATATTAATTACAACCGGGCTGCAATGTTTGTTTACATGTTACTCTGGGTCTTTCTTTTAGCATAACAAAGGAGTTTCAAAGGAGTCTCACATAGGGGATGATTGCGTACTGCACTTCTTCGTACTTCTGTCGTAGGACGATCAAGATCTCGTATATTGTCCAAAAGAAAATTAAATTTATAAGAATCGGAACAATATAAACATACGAGCAAGAAGAGGGGTGTGCAAGGGGTGATTGTTAGCGAAATATTCCACTATTCAAAATGAATTGATAGCCTGGAACAGGCCTGGCCATGGGACACTCAAAGGGGGCTGATAGCCTTGTACAGATATAGATAATGGTGCGTACCAAAGACTAAAATCTGACTACTAGTATTTGGCATTCATACAATTTACGACAACCCGCCATGGCTGAAGTAAAACGCCCCCAACGAAATTGCTTCTGGTTCAGGGAACTGATTTTTGTCCTTGATACTCACTTCATAGTTTCAAAGTTAAACTCTTCAAAGTTTCATGTTGCTAGCACCAAACAACTTTACAGATGTTACAGAGAGAGGGCAACAGGAGTTAACCTCAAAGCTTGGCTTACAGTGACATAATCCTTTAAAATATCGTTTTATTAGTTAAGGGCTTCCATTAACAGTGTTTCAAATAACGACTTTGCATTACATGTACTAGTATTTGGCCTCTAACATACCATAGCTGTTACCTGATCTACCTGATAAAAGGCCCGAAAACATGCACATTTGCTTGTTAAATAAGCCTTATGACATTGGTATTGGTCGCATTTTAACTGTTACACAATGATGCTGTAAAAACTTACGACAAGAGGACTTAAGGGGCAAAATAATATCATATTTTGTTGCCAGTTATAGGGACCAGGTATTGGAATATTATACAGGCCATCTGTTCTGCTGATGTTGTACATGTGTAAGGTGTACAAAAAATTCATTGAGTGTTTTTGGAAGCCCAAAACTAGCATTTTTCTCTGGAAGATTCATAGTACATCTCACACCACACCCTAACACCACCTGCTGTTTAGCAACCACACCACACAACCACTGCTAAAAGTGACATTTTCCTGATCAATTTTGGCATAAAGCACTTCATCATAAAAACAAATCACCCTGTTGCTAGTCATCAATACTGGGTTTACATCTCATAAAGACCTTTTCAAATAGAAATAAATGTTACAGAGACTACTTCTGTAAATACTCAATAAAAGCAGTAACCCACATCGATTATGTTTTTCAAAATCTCTTTTATTTCCCATCATAAAATGCCATAGGTCCAAAAATATCTGAGAAGATATCCAAGAAGCCATAAAACATACAAAACATCACTTACCATATGATCTGTCATGATAGTCTCATATGCAGTCAAATCATGTTGTTATCTAAAGCTAGACAAGCAAGTGTGGCAAAAGACAGAGTAGTGCATATTAAATGATCTGTTATCACAGAATAAGGTCTATATTGAACAAATGCTGATTCCTCAAAGAGTCAACTTATCAAAAACCTATTTTGATTACCGTATACACAATTGATACAGTAGGATTACATAATGCAACTGCAGTAGTAGTGGAATTTCCTGTATTGGGGGGGTACCTTAATCTGAGTAATGCCCTATTCAATGACTGTAATTACTGGTAACAATTACAAAGAAATATCCTACATGTACAAGGTAGGTGCAGTTGGTTTTCACATAATCGTTCAGTGTTCTTTTATAAAAATCTGCATAACAAAAGCAGAAGATATTGCTTAATGATAAAGTCAGAATTTTAAACGATACACACTCAGTCAGAATACAGATGCGTGTGTAGCAAATGATTTATACCATAACAGTTTGAACTCTTGTCAATCTGTGACAGAATCAGCGATAATCAAAGCCCAATGCAAATCAGACATGGAATAGGTACATCTTTACAAGCCAAAGGTCACCCAATAACTCTGTTATCTCAATGTAATGATGCATCAAGCACAAAATGGCTGACATTTTCATACAGATACTGCACAGCTAACATGATATAGAGACAAATGAGGCCTTTAGAACAATTTACCGTGGATAGCTGGTGAACTACAGCTGTATCTGTGTGCATTTGTCTTCATTTTGTGGTGATTTGTCTACAATCCGGCTTGCAATAAAGACATTAGAAGTAGAAAGGGTAATCTGTAGTTCACTAAAACAGTTCTGAAGGACAGATTAAAACAACTCAAGTTGGCTACAAGTTCCTGTATTTTTTGTGGGGAGGGGGGCAGGAGATTCTAGATTGTCTATGTCAATGTGACATTTCAGAAGACCATCTAGTGTACATGTACACTGACCACGTGTAGAAATACTTTCTAAAATGCTGACAAAAGTGCTTTCCTTAACCATAGGTTGATAATACATATTGAAAGTGCAAAGAAATTGCTTTACTGTACAATCAATAGAACCTCCAACCAATATATTGAGTATCCCAAATCTTTATAGTCTATTACTGTTACAGAAGGTTTGGGTAGCTTTTCAAAAGCTTCTGCTGGCGTAACATATTGTTCTTTGGCTGTAAGAAGAGAGACAAAAGTTAACAGAAATGTGTTCTTCACCACAGACATACTTTAAGAAATGGTCAAGTTTCATGTTTTTGTTCACAGCATCTACTTTGTTTACATTGCATAAAAATTGTGTCCGTTGTCTGTCCATCCTATTAACATTCAAGCACTGCAGCTGCATAATTTGTAAAGCACCAAATATCATTTTATGTGCACTATATACATTTTCTCTACAGTTGCAAGAGATGTCACCATTCACATATGGGCGATTCTTAAAATAAAAGAGATCTAAAGTATGGATTGGCTACAGGAATAATGCCATGCTTAACACACAGGTAAGTTATCACACAAGTTCAAATCATGCTTTCCCCCGTTTTCACCAAGGCCACTTTTGTCAAAGAAACATAGACGACTAAAGCCACACCAATCTTATTACTTCATCCTTCCAAAACAGTGTTCATCTTTGATTTTTTTGTTCAAGTACATGTATTTCCAAAAGGAATGGATTGACCAAATAGATCCTTAACCTCTTAACTGTTGCCACTCCCTGTATCAATTATATTTTGTGCCAATTGGTTAATCCTTATAGAAGCAAGAATGTTTTAACATTTTTTCCTAACTTTGTTTAAAGTGGAATCAATTTTTCCAAACAAAATTTTGCTATGGTGGTCAAAATTTGTTCCAACTTCCAGGTAATATACCCTTCAGCTGACAATACTGTACTTTTTGTGCAATGGACCACTTTCATTGGTAAAGCCTTTATCTCATAAGGCTTGATTTTTCTTCCCTTCAATCTTTGATTTCCTACTTTTAACAATCAAGTTATCAAATTGGTGAGGCCTTGGCCAAGTCCTAAAATAAAGTCTATGTGCTGCTATGTACAGGCAAACCCTTGTATGTTAAGTACATACTGCTGTGTGTTGGAACCTCATGACAATGGAAAACAAAGCAAATATCCCATGATGCTCTCCCTATGTATCCCAGGGTTCCGAGCAAGGTCAGAGTTCATCAGGATGCTGGGCGTTAAGAGTGTCGGGCGCGATCTTCTCCAGTGCGAGTTTCATGGCGTCTACCACTGAAAAATATGAAACGTCAAACTTTAGCTACGTTTGCTTCCTTCAAAAATGAAACAAATCATCATACATGATCTATTGCAATTATTCGATAATTCAGTAAAACTCAGTCTTGTTGATACTTACAGTCTTTGTATTAGCTAAATACAATATATTGCTGTCTGCCATTTTTTCAATGAAACAATAGGTGATATCAAACCAAAAGGGAAAAAAAAGTCATCTTTTTCAATGAAGTCAATGAAAATTTACAAAGTCTCCCACAATATATTTTGGCAAAGAAAGAATCCAATGGTTTTCAAAACACTTCCAGTAAATGATAAAAATGCGAAGAAAGGAAAAAGAAGCTATGTACCAAATCTCGAAAAGGCATTGCCAATATCTTAAAAAAGTTATCTAAAAAAACTTTACAGGGGGCACCCGGATTTGAACCAGGGACCTCTCGATCTGCAGTCGAATGCTCTACCACTGAGCTATACCCCCATTTACACTTTCCAGCTGCTGGCTACCTGCCTAAGAACTGTGTGTGTGGCACAGCTGCTACAGGATGTTGGCACACTTATATTTGCATATCAATGAATGCAAGGTCACTGGAGATAATCCTTGGATAAACAATCAATGACTGCCGAAACAAGAAAAGTTTTTAATTTATACTTAAAAGCTAATACACAAAGTTTTCTCCAGTTCCTTTAGTTTTTCAATTATAATCAATCATTATTAAAACCATTCCCTGATACACAGTAATACCTGTTTGCACATTTGTTTCACACTTAAGTAATCATGGCAAAAATCACATCATATATTCTGTAACACATTACTCTAACCATGTAAAAACTCAGTTATATTAAAATAATATTTCTTGAACCAAAGAAGTTATGAATCACAATAAATGTCTTACAAACTACATGTACCTACATTAATATCTTCCTACCCTCAGTTAAGTGAAAAGTTAAAATTACCAGCAAGTCTTTGAATTTTCATCATTCACGCTAATAAGTATACTGGCACAACATATTACAGCACCAATAGGCAATTAAGCTAATACAAGTGTCCTCAAGCTGCTAATGTCAGCTAAAGCAAACAAAGTCCTACAACAATACAGGCAGGTGTAAGTACTGGCATTTAATCTGTGAACAGGATGTTTCTGTTGGCAAATGCTGAAGTGCCACATCACTATAGGAGTGGACAAGTCCATTGGTGGGACGGGGGAGGGGTTGGATCGGTACAAAGGTTGATATTCAAATTGGATCATTTGAGAAATGTTTCACCTGAAGAGTTTCAACTTAAAATTAATATTACGTGCAAACAAAGAGTCCTTTTGCAAGGAAATCTAGCATGTTGTTCATTAATAAAAGCATTAAAATTATGCTCCTACCCTTGCATATGAAGTCTTCAGTCATGCTTGTTTACTTTAAGAAATAATAAAAACTGAAATTAATTCTTACACTAATCTATTGGTGACGTACCCCTCGTACATACTTAGTATTTAAGAGAGACCTACCCATCTCATGTATTCTGTACAAGCGACTGGTATCAGCTATTTTCATAACACAAATTCCAGCAGACTCAAGGGGGGCGAAAAGACATGGTGCTTTCTACAATATTCCCTCCTCTCCGTCCCAATGGGATATTCCTTATCGCTTGAGTCAGCCTTGCACACTTCCAGGCGGCTTTATGCCTAAGTCTGGTTTGTAGCTGCTGCTAAATCGCAGCTTCTGCCAAATCCCCAGTCTGGAAAATATCTCAATCCTACATAATTCCACAGTGTGACGCAAGCTCACATAGCGTCCGCATGAAAGCAAGGGTTATCGCATATTCCGTGACTTGTACATGTATTGTGTATTCTAGTAGTATACTATACGCATGTAGGTATATGAAGCCTTTCCCATGTGTAACAAATTGCTACCAATAGGGCCTAAGAAAAAAATGTTGTGTTTCCTGTTTCAGTCCTGAAAAAATTAGGGTTAGTAGGTACTAGGTAGGGATTATCTTTTTTCCTCTTTTTGAAGGGGTACTCTGGTGATCAAACTTATACAATACAGTTTAACAATTAATAAGTAAAACTTGCACGAGAACACTTCTATTTTCAATCGCAATGTTGGAAAACCAATTGTACAACTTTTTAGCACTCAGGTGTCAAATCATGGAGCTACATGTAGGAAAGGTCCATCAGCTCAGCCCAAGAAATTTATGTCCCTTTCAAGGGTGACACAAAAAAGGCTAGGGTTGGCAGTTTTTTCTAGGGTCGGTCGGGAAACAGTACACACAACATTTTTTCCCAGGTCTAGATGTTCAGTCTATGGTCTTGACATATGGAAAGTTAAATCTCTGAGTTGTTGCACCTCTTGAATACTAATTATATCACCAGAGTCTTCCTTTTCGTCTGGTGAGGAAAATTTGCCCAGACACATTCTACGATCCCTTAGGCACAGATATCTCTAGGAAAAGTCTTCATTTTGTTCTTTGACAACCTATTTGTACAGCCTTCTGGCAATCTCAAAGTCCAGCTGCTTTCCGGTTGAACACAATTTTCCTTTCAACGCAGCTGTACTTCTTTATCTCGTACCACAACTTTTTAAAGTGACTTTACGCTGATGTTGCTTGGGGGTTAAGCTACATTTTGTACGTTGTCCCCTCTGAAAACTAAATGGACTGTGGCTCAGTAAGGACCCTATAAGAGACACCTGGAAAAGGATGATTCCTTCTGCCCTTTCAATCAATGACATCCACCTTCACACTGCCCATGCATCCTCACCTCTTCAAGGGAATAAGTCCAAGTCCCAAGTTACCCAGGGAGCACACAGTTCGCTAAAATCCAA